CTTATTTTGGTCTGAAAAGAAAACGCCAATGATTTGTTCACAGCGAAAATGTCTATGTCATATGTGCGTGAGAAAGCAAAGTTTCAACTACTCATCTCTATTCCGGTCAAAAAAAAAAAAAAACTACTCATCTCTATAATTAATTGAGAGGATTATTAATTTCAACAAACCTTTTCCAAAACGTACTTCGATTTGTTCTCCATCTTTAAGGTTGACTTTTATTTTAACAACTTCACTCTCAATTATATCAACATTAACAGAAGAATTCTCGTATAGTCTCAGAATACCACCTCACATAAACTCTAATCAGTGTTAAAGTAACACCTCAATAAAATTTGTTATTGTTATTTTTCTTATGAAAAATGTATTTCAATGGATCAATTAATATGTGTAAATAATATCGTGTAGTTCAATTTGAGAGAATTACATACAGGTTCTGAATAAAAAATTATTTATTTATTTATTATGTAAATATAGAAGCTTTACTTATAAATAAAAGTGGGAAGATAATTAATTTTTTCATTCGAAATCTATTTATAATTCTCTCTTATATTTTCATGTGAAATACACTATTAATATTCTATTTATAAAGGGAAAAAATTAGGTCAATTTGCTGATATTGATTATGTCAAGTTTATAAATTACTCCTCCGGTCCTTAATATAAGACCCATTTAACTAATTTGATTATATTAAGAAAGTTAAGTACTCCTCTGGTTCTTAATATAAGACCCATTTAACTAATTTGATTAGATTAAGGAAGTTAGGTAAGTTAGTTAATTATAAGAAATGTGACACATTTTTCCTAAAACACCATAATCATCTTTCTTAATACCTCATCTCCCTCTTTTACTTGATTATAGTTAAGGGAGTATCTATAAGGGTAATTTAGAGAAAATTAATAAATATGAGAAATGAGTCTTATATTTAGGACAAAAACCAACTCAATAATTGGGTCCTTAATCCGGTGGAGTAAATTAGTTAATTGTAAGAAATATAACATGTTTTTCTTAAAATACCATAATCATCTTTCTTAATACCATCTCTCCTTCTTCTACTTGATTATGGTTGAGGGAGCATCCATAAGGGTAATTTAAAAAAAATTAATAAATATGATAAATGGGTTTTATATTTAGGATCAAAACCAACTCAACAACCGGATCCTATATTAAGGACCGGAAGATAATTTATAAGTACTCATGCATTTTAATAAATAATAATAGTAAAATAATAAGTAGTATTCATATTTTATAAGTAAATGTGTGAGTGCATATATGAATTGTGTATATGAAAATTTACAGATACTGATTTACATTATAAGATTTTATACAACAATTTACAATTGAATTATGCCGGCAAGTAGGACCCACGGGCATTATAAAATGCAGCACGTGTATTAGCAGTTATATATAAAATACTATATATAAAAGAACAGACACTTTTATTTATTTATTTATTTATTTTGGGTCTGAAAAGAAAATGTCAATGACTGGTGAAGATGTACATGGGCACGTAAGAAACCAAAGTTTCAACGACTAGAGATACGATTTCAAGAAACCTTAGTCAACGATTTGTTCTCAATCTTTATATTAGTCCATTCTTTAATATTCTTTCGGTTCTTATTATAAGACCCAATTTGACTTTTTATTTGGTCCTAATTATAAGACCCAATCTATTTTGTCTTTTATATTTATGTATTTTTTTCCAAGATAATCCTTCTAATAATGATAGTTTTAGCCAATATACTTAATTAGTAAGGATATTTTAGGAATGACAACACTTATTTATTATAAATAACCAACTTAACTTACTTCCTTAATCTCCTCAAATAAGTCAATTGGGTCTTATAATTAGGACCGGAGGAGTATAAGATTTTGTTTGACTTTTATTTTGTTTCTAAATATAAGACCAAATCCATTTTATCTCTCATATTTATATTTTTTTCTAAGATAGTCGTTCTAACAATGATAATTCTAGCTAAAACACTTAATTTGTAAGAATATTTTAGGTAAGACAACACATATTTATTACAAATAACTAACTTAACTTCTTTTCTTAATATTCTCAAATTAGTCAATTAGTTTTTATAATTAGAATCGAAGGTAATACATCACTATTATTTAACAGTATCACTTGATTTGATTAGGAAGGTGAGTTTGGGCTTTTCTTTTAACAAAGAGAATCCGCTCTGGAATTGAGCTATTTTTTTTTTTCATTTTTTAATGTGGATTTAAATTATGAAGTTTTTCACTTCCTATCTGCTAATACAGACCCTCTTATAAAACTCAATAAAGAGTACCTCAAATTCTAAATATAGAATCTATTTTGTAATACAAGAATCGGAACAGTTATAATATGAGAGGCAAGAGGAAGGAGTCAAACAGCGATTTGGTGCCAGATCAGCAGTAAGCAGACTTGAATTGGAATTATAAAATTGTATGTACGTGGGATGGAGGTCACACACACACAGACACAACATGTGTGTGTCTGTGTGTGTGGCTGTGTATTGCAGAATGGTGAATTAATGGAAGGGTTGGTACTTGGCAGTGTTTTGTTTAATCATCTTTTCACACATCCCGACACCTTCGTCGGCACTGCCTCCTTATCATTATTATGCTCTCACTTCATACAGCCTGGCCTGGGATCCTCCGCCTTCCGTCGTGCAAAAGAGATCCACTTTGGCACTAGGGCAATGCGCCCACGTTCTTCTGGTAAGATATTATCTTCGAGTTTTAATACAAAAATTAGATAATTAATTTATGAATATTTAAAAAATTAGTTAAGTTAATTATTTGTAATAAATATTATTTATGGTCTTTAATATAAGAGCTTGATTGACTTTTAATTTGATCTTAAATAGAAGATTCTAATTTTTTTGTCAGAAAATATAGAACTCTAATCTACTTTATCTCTCGTATTTATCTATTTTTAAAAATAATTTGCAGAGTTGCACATGTTAAATATTTTATTAATTAGTAGTTCTAGTTAATATATATGATTAGTGTAGGTACTCTAGAGAATTCAACTTATATTTGCTACAAATAACTAAATAAATTTTCTTAATCTACTTAAATTAGTCAACTAGCTTTTATATTAAGAACATGATATATTATATGTTATCTTCTTTAAAATATTATTATTAATCATATATATTAGAATGAAAACCCTTTCATGTATGTAATCATTATGAGAAGTACTTTAAAAAGAAAAATAAATATAAAAAATAAAATAGATTAATATCTTATATTTAGAATAAAATTAAATATGTAATTAGTTTTTATATTTAGCACTTGAATAATAATATCAAAGGAGCTGACGGTGCCTCTTTGTCCCAACATGATTTGAATAGGCGGGGACCGGCGAGAACAGATTCTTCAGTTACACGACCCTGTCGAAGATATGTGACCTTATGCATTATTCATCAATTATTATTACTAGTTCTCTCATAAAATTTAATAAAAATTAAAATATATGTTTGATACCCTAAGTTTCTATCAAGTTTTAATTCAATCCCCTAAACTTATAAAAATGTATTTTTAATATATTCCTTAATTCTAATACCATTAGTCTCATTCAATGAAAAATGTTGATTTTGCAAATTTAAATCTGGACTCAGCAATTAAATATTAACAAATATTTATAACTATTTTATATCTTAAAACTAAAATAAACATCCTAATCAGCATTCTTTTAAAATCTAAAAATGATTATATTTATAAATGATTAAAATAAAAATAAAGTTGTTGATATGTAATCTTATTTTATATTTAAAATATAAAAATAATTATAAGCATTATTTAGCATCGAAGTTAAGATTAAGGACTGAAAATACACTTTATAATTTAAGGGATTAAACTAAAACTTAATGTAAATTTAGAAGACCAAATATATATTTTAGGCTATATAAAATATTTATTATTCATTTTTGAAAATACTATTATCCTTTTTTACTTTTAATTTAAATAATAGACTTAATATGATTTACATTTGAGAAGTTTTTAAAATTTTTTAGGAAGGAGTATTTTTTAATTTATACATATAAACTTACTATAATTTAGAATTTGTTGCTATCTTTGATTCTTAATATAAGAACTATATAATTAATTTGAAAAAATTAAAAAAATTAGTTAAGTTGGTTGAGTGTAGTAAATGTGTGCTAACTTTTTTAAACTAACCTATTTAATCATGTGCATAAAAATAATTCCTTGATAGGGACCCTTTCCAACCAAAAGGATATTTTTAGAGAAAACATTATGAATTTTATAGAGAAATTGGATTGATATATTATATTTAGAACAAAATTTAATCTCTAACTAGTATTTATATTTAGGACAAGAGGTAGTATCAGCTTAATTGATACATCTTATATTCTAAAATTATTCATAAATTATTTGCACAAATAAAATTTGTGGTTATTATACGTATAAGAAGTATCTTATTGGAAGAGAAAAAACACACTTCTATGATCTTTATATTTCAAAAGTGATTAATCCTTAATTATTGGATAACTGCAGTTATAAAATAAAAATAAACATAAAAATTTAGATATACCTCATCGATCTACACACACTCTCCTGTCAATGTCTCACTTAATATATCCCTCAGTAATTATAAAAATTTCTAATTAATTTACTAAAATTTTTAACTAATGATTTTTATGGAGAGTGATTTTAATATTTTATGAAAAACCACTAATTTTAACTAATTTTATTAATTGATGCAGATGTTTATAATATTTATTAGGGGGTGTGTGTGGGTATGGCAAAACTAATGATTTTCTATATTCAACCCGATGTTTGATTTTTGTCATCACCAGAGTCTAATTTCACGTGAACCTAATATTTATTCTTTCTCTGATCTATCTACCCTTTTTTCTACTTCAGCTTTCGAGCCAGGAGTCTCTTTTGATTATATATATTTGTTCGCATTACTTGACTTTTGTATCATCAGTTTTCACAACTTCCTTCAACGTTATCTTCCATCATCCTGTTCTTCCTCTGCAGAAACAATGGCGAGAGATGCTACTGAAGCGCAATCCAAGAAACCACACATCGTCGTTCTCGCGAGCCCTGGCTTGGGTCACGTGACGCCTCTCTTCGAGTTCGCTAAGCGTCTCGTACTCCTCCATGGCTGTCACGTGACCTTCCTCAACATCCCCACCGAAGCTTCCCTCGCCCAAACTCAGCTCCTCCACTCACCCAACCTCCCTCTCGGCCTCTCCGTCGTCGATTTCCCCACCGTTGATCTCTCCGGCGTGGTCGAAGACGACGCTCCAGCTCTTACCCGTCTCTCTGTAAACGTACAACAAACCTTGCTCTCCCTAGAATCCATACTCTTGCAGCTCCACAAGCCTCAAGCCGTCGTCATCGACTTGTTCTGCACCCAAGCGTTTGAAATCTGCAAGGAGCTTTCCATCCGTGTCTTCATGTTCTTCACTGCTTCCACTCGCTTGCTTGCCTTCTCCTTGTTGCTCCCACAGCTTGACCGTGACGTCGCCGGCGAGTTCGTTGACCTTCCGGAGCCCATTCAAGTTCCGGGATGCTCTCCGCTGCGAACCCACGACCTTCTCGATCAGGTCAGAAGCCGAAAGAGCGACGACTACAAGTGGTATCTGTATCACCTCAGTAGGGTGTCAATGGCGGATGGAGTGTTCTTGAACACATGGGAGGATCTCGAACCTGCACCGGTTCGAGCCATCAGAGAGAATGCTTTCTACAAGAAGACCCTCACAGCACCGGTTTACCCTATCGGACCGGTGATAAAGGAAACTGAATCGGTAACAGAAACCGGGTCGGAGTGTTTGGCGTGGCTTGATAAACAACCAGAGGACTCGGTTCTCTTTGTTGCTCTTGGCAGTGGGGGAACTTTGTCTGCGGAGCAGCTCACGGAGTTAGCATGGGGTCTCGAGCTGAGCGGCCAACGGTTCATATGGGTGGTTCGAGCCCCAGATGATGCCAGTGCATGTGCTTCATTTTTCACCGTCGGTAACGATACGGACGCCGACGCGAGGTCCTATTTACCAGAAGGGTTCATAGAGAGGGCCAGAGGAAGGGGATTGGAGGTGCCATCATGGGCCCCGCAAGTGGCGGTGCTCCAACACAGTTCGACGGCGGCGTTTCTGTCTCACTGTGGGTGGAACTCGGTGTTGGAGAGCTTGGCTCACGGTGTGCCATTGATAGCGTGGCCGCTTTACTCGGAGCAAAGGATGAATGCGACGATGCTGGCAGAGGAAGTTGGAGTGGCGATGAAAGCGGTGGCAGAGGACACGGCGGAGACAAGGGTTGTTGGGAGGGAGGAGATAGAGAAGGTGGTGAGGATGACGGTGGAAGGAGGAGAAGGGAAGGAGATGAGACGCAGAGCGAGAGAGCTGAAAGAAAGTGCAATCAAAGCATTGAGTAACGGTGGGCCATCTTATGAGTCACTCGCCCGAGTTGCTACTCAGTGGAAGGCCACCTTGAAGAACTGATGATTATGTACAAGAAACCTGTGTTGCTTGGCTCATTTGAGCGGGCATTGTAGATGCTGTGTTTGTTATAAGAAATAAGTTATAATTATATAAATAAAAAATAAAGACAATCAATCTTTTGCTCCATATAGGCATGTAGTTTTAACTTAGATATAATTAACTTAGTGTCTAAATTTTAACTGCCATAAAAAAGTATTCTCCCCGTCACTTGTTATAAGAAATAGTTACAAAAATCATGCGTTTTAAAATATTAATTAAATTTAGTTAAAACAATAAACACGTAATATATATACATGTTTTTTTTAATTATATATATTTCTGTTTGTAAAGAGATTACATGAGAGATAATGAATGAAAATTTGTCATACAAAGATAATAAGTGATATTCCTCTGATCCTAAGTATAAAACTCGTTTTGTAGTGTAATTTACACTATAAAATAGGTCTTATATTTAGAAATGATGGAGTATATTTTTAATTGGGTTTAGAGTAAAAAGAATAGTATAAAATTTCAGATAAAGAGAAAATTTATTTCTTATATTTAAACAGTAAAAGGTTATGTACTTGGAGGGCAATGCTATGAGTAAGATTTTTTTATAAAAAGGAATGGTTGGAGTATCTAAATTTTAGCTAGACAAAAGTTTATTCTTATAATTTTTAGTCAAATCAAACTACCATCAAATCAAACTCACATGGACTATAAAAGATCTATTTTCCCGAGAGTAAATTAAAATTAAAATTAAATTATATGATTTTATCTGGGGACCCACCCATTGATAAATGGGATTCATCACCCTTGTCAATGTATATTTCCCTCTACTGCTGCACATTTTTTTACCAGTTGGATGCAACTTGTAACCGTTGTTAGCGCCTATGTTTTTAATTTAAAAAATGTATTTTAATGGCAAAGAATATAAGAAAAAAAAGAGTGAAACAAAGGAGAAAAACAGTAACTGATCATGACATGATTACCCACCACTCACCACTGATCATGACATGTTTGGAAAGGAATATAGAGAATATTTTAATTTCTTGTTTTTACTAAAACTGTAATTTGAATAGTTTTTAATAACGTGAAATGAAACCTCATGCCGAAATCCCTCTGTTAACCTGGTGATATACGTGTTTTAAAGAAGAAATAGTTATCGAAAGATCTTAACTATTTGTAAATACAAAAACTTTACAATAAAAATATTGAAATTTGACATGTAAATAGAGGCATGTTTATAATATTAACATTGGTTTTGATAACAATTGATAAACAAATGACAACAATTTTTGTAAACGGATCTTTGTTTTTAATTTTTCAATTTCTAAGATTTTTTTTTGTTGCAATTTTCCCTAAAAAATAGTTTTATTTATTTATTTTTTTGGTTATGTATAGGTATTCTCTTATTGAAAGCATTGTCAAGTACTGAATGTGAACATTTCTTCCAAAGAGAATTCGAACATTAATTCATCACGTTGTGAAGAACTAATCCCTTCTATTAGACTCCATCCCTATTAGTTTTGGTTTAGTTAATTTTATTTTAATCCTGCTTAAAATTCTCCTTTATTTAAAATCTAGTGTTTCATTCAATAGCCCCAGTAATCATGCTATTAACCACATCCAATCTAGGCTAAATTAAAAACAAGTCATAAACTCATTTACCATCGTAAGCTAAACGAACATGAGGTTCATCAACAAAATTTAAATCCAAATTCAAATTGTGATAAGTTGGACCCTGATCACATCAAATCATTCATCAAATTAAGGTGGAGTAGTTCATCATCCTATTCAAAACCAACAATGCAAACCAATCACAGCGAAAAAAATCTAACTGTAATTGCCAAAAAAAAGGAGATAGAGAGACTCGAATTAGCTTCCTTTGATCCTCACCAAGTGAAAACTATAATCTTTAACCAGGTTTTCAATTGGAGGGAATTCCAAATTTGAATGGCTTGCCTCCTATTAGGGTACCCATTCAAATTGACTGGACCCAAGAACAAGATCAAAGCAAGCTAATGCAAAGTGGAACCAAACCAGTTCACGCACGGTAAGTTCAGTAGCATCCAGCAAAACCTCAATTGGTATAAAATACAAAATTTATAGTAGGCCGTACTATTCACGAGGTATTAACAGTTTGGCTCATATCATAAACCATGACCAATGGAAACATGTTTAACATCCCTATTATATATGTACACGAAGGATTCTTGTACATAAACAAAGATGATACAGTTGATGTCAGATATGGCTTCATTACAATAAACTCATTCCTACTATAGGCTTGAGCAAAGCATATATGCCAAATAAATTCAGTATCATAAAAATGAGCAAAATTTTATCAATGACCATTATAAAAGAATGATTACTTCCTAACATCATAATGCAATTAATCACAAGATAGCAGACATATTGTTTCCATACTCTATAATGCAATTAGTTATGTCTGAAGCATATTGTATTTACAGATACTAGTTACAAGCTAGCAGCCAAAATTGACGATGTTTCCTGGTGAGTTAAGCTGTCAGCAACATGAGCAATCACTCCTGCTCCTGCATTGTGAAGCCATTCATTTTTTACCTGAAATCAGACAAATACTCGAGTCAAGAAACATTGTCACTAAAATCAATACCTTTGACAGAAACATCACGTGGTTGCAGTACATGAATGTTGTTATGAGCAAAGAAAGGCCAAAATGCTGAGTGAAAGCTGACATCAACTTTTTTCCATCCCAACTTCTGTAATCCACGTATCATTTCCTCTGTTTAAAAAATACAGAGCAGCTTTAGAAGTTGGACAACAGTGACACAACTTGCACTTTATATATCTTTAGTTATTCTTGGTAAAAATAGTCACCTTCCATAATTTCATGATATTCCACAGTATTCTGCGTACTAGGTGCATTTTGCACCGCCTCCTTTGCTTTTACCGCCTCCAGAGGAAATTGAGGGCCGTCAGAAGGTACTGGAGGGCAGTATTCCACATCAACAACATGCTTGTATCCAACCAAAGATCGGCGAGGAGGCTGCCAATTGACAGAGATAATTAGAATCCCATAGAAGACATTATATGCACCTTTATCACCTTTGCACTGAACAATCTTGCCCCAAAAGAACTAGGAAATCAACACCTCCCACTATGTCTATTTGTTAACTGTACATTGCTTCCAAAGAACAGAACTAACAAAATTATACAAGTAATAATTTAATAAATCAGAGATTAAGACATCAATTAAGACTTAAATTAGGGCTATTATTTACTGCTATTTCCTTTGTTGTCTTCAAGACATGATTGATATGAATGAAATTTCCTTTTTAAGCTCTTGACATCGAACTTTTAATCATCCAGATGATTATGGACTCATTAAGGAAACTGTCAAAGAGAAGCCCAATGATGAATGGTTTCATGGGTTAAATCCAGAGATTGCTCACCCTATATCAATGATGATGGGAGTATAAGTAAACCAAAGAAAGGAGAACAAGCTGAGAGCTTGTGTGAAGCTCGAGGATAACATGCTACTGAATGAATTTCTTTGTGTAAGCTATTCTGTTATAACAACTGGCCTATATAAATGCCAAGTGTTATAACAGAATAAAGAGTACACATTGCAAAGAATTTTCAATACAACTAGTCATCATACACAAAATATTTATAAACAAAAAAATACTTATCTAGACTTTTTCTCAACTCTATACTACTATTCCGTAGATTTTGAAAAGCATTTGATAATGACGTTTATCTTTCAAGTACATAAACTGAAGATAACGCTTTTCTGATATATGCTTTGAGACTACCACAAAGTCTCACCCACTCAGATCATAAGGCTTTCAACAGCTTAGTGTAATAATATTGCCCAAAATACTTGGTGTTTACTCTAGCTTAATCCAACCATGTAATATCCATCTTGCACATTTTATTTGAGATACCACTACTCAAAGAATAAGAAATAATATACAAGAGGAGAAATTATCATATTCACCTTACCAAGTTCGGTTTCCCTCCTTATAGAAGATGTGCGCCACCCCACCATATCTATGATAATTTAAGAAAAAATAACGAAATTGAAAAGGAGAGAGCTAACAAATTTATCAAGCTACAGTTAAGGAAAAGATACTAAGGATACGATCATAAGATACATTAGCATAAACAATACGGCATCTAAATGATCCAAGAGCAGATCTACAAAACAGAGAACTTTATTAACATTGAATTAAATATCACTCAACAAAATCAGAAGAATACGTAGCCACATAAGGACAGAAGTATTTGCTTGCTTACATGAATTTTCCATCTTCACAATCAGAAGCCATCCTTAAAAGAAGTGGTGGTCTATTTGGTTTACCATCAGTAAGGAACAGCTGACTGCCAGTCCGTCCAACAAAAATTGGAGCTATTGGAGCAGCAAGCTTTTCTAGGATTGGGACACCCAAAAGAAATGGAAGCTGAAAAATAAACTTGGTAAATAGTCAAACTTGTAAAATAAATAAACAATAGAATTGAGATAGGAAAGCTGATTTTGTGTAGATCCATAAACTGGGAAATAGAACACGTCTGTCAAATCTAAGCACAGGGCCAATAAAGGTGTTGGAAAAAAAAAAAACGAAAGGAAAATATTTCAGTTGGAGAAAGTGTATCAGGTCATGCCAATTTTCTTTCTTTTTTTTTTAAAAAAAGAGCAGTGGCCGTCATGAAAATCAATGTATGAATTTGGTTAAGCCAAGATATAGGGAAATTATATCAATTTGAAAATAAAAGTAAGAACAGGGAATGTATAAGAAGAGCACAATTAGAGAAAAAGAAAAGAATCAGAAACAAACGTTAAGCAGCATCCAATAAGTGCTAATTAATGAGTAAATAATTGGGTTTCTGTTAGTCAAAAATGCCCTTGATCGCACTAAATCCTAAAATGTTTAAAAAAGAATGCAGATATTTGACATTTTACATAATTTTACACCATCAGAAAATTTGTAACAAAAAAAAAATGAAAAGAAAAGGCTTCAGCAGAAAAAAACGAGTGACTTGACTTCATTTTACATTTGCAATTTTAATGGCATAATGCAGTTTTTCCCCGGCTGGCTTCACTGTGGGCTTCAACTCATGCTTCTCTTAGAGAAATTATGGATATGGATTTCTTAAGGGAC